TCTCTCTCTCTCTCTCTCTCTCTCTCTCTCTCTCTCTCTCTCTCTCTCTCTCTCTCTCTCTCTCTCTCTCTCGCGCGCGCGCGCGCGCAAGCGCAAGCGCAAGTGTGCGCTGCGCCCTTGCTTGCATGGCCCCGGCTTCAAAAAGCTAGATTAGAATGAATCTTGTCACGTTAATGCGCAAGATTCATTTGAATCGAGCTCTCTCTCTCTCTCTCTCTCTCTCTCTCTCTCTCTCTCTCTCTCTCTCTCTCTCTCTCTCTCTCTGTGTGTGGCCCGGGGGGAATGCCCCAAAGTGCCTCCAACGGCAACAAGGGCGTGCCGGAAGGGGCATCTCGAAAATTTGTCCGCTGGCTTTTAACGGCCATCCGGTAGGGGCATCCCGCAAATTACTGACCGGTACCGGTAGGGGCGTCACGAAAAGATTTGAGGCCCAAACGACACCGGGGTCGTTTGGAAAATTTCAACCCTGCTCAGAGGGGCGCGACAGGGTAAACTGGCCGTCGGAGGGGCGCGACGCGAATTATCGCAAAATACAGGGGCGCCAGACAAATTTTCCCATCAAATAAATAAAAAATAAAAAATAAAATAAAATAAATAAATCCTGTCCTTCGTAATGCTGGTGCTCTAACCAGCTGAGCTACCACGTTTTATCCTACCTACCCTCACATTCTCGTAAGCAATCGATAGGCAGAATAGAATGCTTCGTGAATGTGAAGCAAGACTTGGGAGTTCCAGTCCTTCGGGACATCCGTTAAAATTGGAACGAGACTTGGGAGTTCCAAGGAAACAGAGCATTATCATTGGCAAAAAAAAAAAAAAAAGAAAAGAAAACAGAGCATTTTCCTACTACAGAGTCCAGACATACCTACCGTAACCTATTCCAAGCGGAAGAAGCAAACCAAGCAAACCAAAACAATGGAGTACCAAAAGCCTTGAGTAGCCAACAAACTCTTTTCTGCTGGCTATTCCCTCCCTTCCTCTCTGTACTCTCAGTATGGTAGCCTACCCCTGACCCATAGCGCCTCCACGGCCCCCCGAGCCTGAAGCGACTCAGCTTCTACAAAATGCCTCTCCATGCGATAGTGACCTCCTGCGGACGGAATTGAACTGACAGCTACAGGGAGAGGCAACCTCCCCAAAAGCCTTTTCGCTCCGTCCGCCCCGAAATGTTTGTCCCGCCGAGACGCGGCATGGCGTGTGGTGGCATTCACGCCAATCTACTCGTGTTCCCCAGCAGCGTGCGAGAGTGCACTTTGCAAAGCTGCCATAGCTAGCCTGCTGCAGACGGAGGATGATGATGAGCTCTGCGGTGTAAACGTGCGCGCTCGATCATCATCCACTCATTGGGGTGAGTGTTTCCCTTCTGCCCCGTCCATTTTCTCCTCCTTCAGGAGCACCTGACCCGCTTCTCTACCACCTCTTCGGCATCGTCTCCTCCATCACCACTCCCACCTTCTCCTTCCCCACGCTTTCCTTAACGCGTTCACTTGTTCTCCCAGTCTCTCTCACATCTAATTCCGGTTCTCCTCGTCCTCGTCGTCCTCCTCCTCTGCTACTGCTACCTTTCCCAGTTCCTCCCTATCTCGACGGGGAAGCAGTAGTTCGAATGCCGGCTCGATTGATTGATTGGTTGCCATTGGTTGATTGATTGCGTAATTGACTTATTGATTGGTTGGTTGATTGATTACGCCATTGATTCGCTGCCATTCCTAATAAGTAATATGTATGTGAGTACCGGATGATTAGGATGCCACGTTGGGTGCCAGGCTGCCGACGTGGGGGAGAAGAGGGAAACTTCCCGCGCCGAAGCTGCCCCTGAGGCAGCATGTTTTGCCCTCCTGCCACATCATACCCCCTCTCCTACGTACACACGTCAGCAGCCTTGGCCCTCCATTTTCAACGAATTTCTCCACGCTGGACCCACCTCTCTCTCCCACCTCCTGTCCCATCACATCCCACCCCCTGAGGCAGCATGTTTTGCCCTCCTGCCACATAAAATCCCCTCTCCTACGTATCACATCCATTCCCTCCATATTACTTAGGTTCTTCTGAGATGTTGTCAGCCCTTACCGCCATATTGCCATCTACGAATGAGGCGTCACTATACCACCTGCGCTCCAACGTGCAGACCAGACACACATCACCTTCTCTCCGCTATACGGAGGAGACCTTCTCCTGCCAATGGTGTCTGCCAGGCCAGGTCACCACTACCTACTAGTAGCAAAGAGGACTGAATCTGGATGGGTTTTGAGCAGTGATGCAGAAAAGCAGATCAATCGCGACATTCTGCACCTCTCCACGAACACCTCCAGATTCAGCCTTTCAATTCGATCCTCTTTGCTTGTGTGGCCTCGCCCCTGGAGGCCGACCAGACGTCCAGCCTGGTAACTTGCGGTAGGATCAAGGCTCGTATAACAGAAGTGACGTATCCGTATCCGTATCCGCCGGAAGTGTCGGCCTACAGGATGCCAGCCGCTGATGGCCATCAATTACCACTAGTAGTAGTGACCCAATGGAATAGCCCTGCTGTGCGTTAGCGCGTCTGTTTGACGTATTGGCCCGTACAGTCGATGGTTTGCGCTAGCAGTTAGAGTGAGTGGTCTGATCAGTCAGCGCAGACGGGCGACACGTGTCGCCACTGTCATGATGTTCTTATGTGCAGTGCGTGGATGATTCTGGCTGGATTTGGCAGACTACCGTCTTCTTCCCGAACACAATGCGCCCTCATTTTGGCTGCACCGGACCGGAAAGATGGCTTGTATACATTTTCATTATCAGGGTGCGTTGTGTTCGGGGGAGGACGGTAGTCACGACCGTACCGGAGATTGCAGGGATCGATGGCCATCATCAAAACACAGAACCAGGGTGCAAGGTCCTGGCTCCACTACTCACCACGACCACAAAAGACAAAAATATGGCGGTGTATGTTCCCATGTTCTAGCGGAAAATTCATTCTCATTTTGCACATTTGGTGAGTAGTGGAGCCAGGCGGCCCTAAATAGAAGCTTGCCCTTGTGACTTCGTTCAGTCTACTCTTGATTGATTAGTGCTCAGTTGCATATTACTTTCTTTCCTTGTGTTTTGTTCAACAACACTATATTTTTCTCTCAAATTGTTTAACCTTTCACTACCTACCTACCACTACTCCTATGTAAGCGGTAGCTATCCTTGCAGGGCTCCCCTCTATACTTTGCCTCAGTCGCTTATTACGTAGATCAATATCAATTTTCATTTAATCTGATGAGGGGAAATAAGACCGGTAGGTAGCCGGTGGAAACATTTTGGCCTTAATAGCCTCTAGAAATGCACCTGCCTATAGGATAATAATAGCAAAGAATAGAAGGCCAGCTGCAGGACCTGCTCGAGTGGTATGTGAACGTCTCTCTTTCCAAAGTGGCATGCGGCTCAGGCTTTCAGCTGCGCTCTGATTCACAATGTGACAATATATATATAGGTGAGTGATAGTCTACTTTGATTTTGGTTAAGGTAGATTATCATTTACAGTGTAATCAGTGAGGGGATTCTGCAGACTGTTGAGGGTTCAGCCTCCTGATGAGTCGGTGAAACTCCGACGAAACAGTTTGTCACAGCCCCTCGTTTGTTGTCCTCTTCTCCCTCTCTGCCTACGGTTTACCGGGCAGTTCTATTTGACGATATATATATATATATATATATATATATATATATATATATATATATATTCAGCCTCCTGATGAGTCGGTGAAACTCCGACGAAACAGTTTGTCACAGCCCCTCGTTTGTTGTCCTCTTCTCCCTCTCTGCCTACGGTTTACCGGGCAGTTCTATTTGACGATATATTTTTATTTTTATTTTTTTCCTCTAGGGGAATGTATAGGTAGGTCAATTAACGAACAAAGGACATGTCCCGTTAAATATTACCTTTAGCTGAACTTTACTTTACCGCTAACGGGTGTTATCTTATGTCATTTAATGCATTTTAGTTTGCTGATGCATTAATCTCTGGTAATTATGGTCCTCTGGCACATCCTAACGATACAGAGAAGATTAGCATGACCTTTGCGCAAGGGTGACACGCGTAAATCGAGAAATGGTCCAATTTTTTATTATATGTATATATTATATGGATGTATATATTGGTGCGCATGGGAGAATATGGGGATGTAATGAGTCGTGGTGCGTTTGATAAGGTTAAGTCTGGTGCTGCTTCGAAATTTGGAAAAGACATCGATGCCTCTATCGGAGTGTGTCGTGCCCGACTGTCAATATCGTCCGATTACAGTTGATGAATCTGACCGTGGTACTACCCAGGTCCTTCCTCTGACAGGGACGGAAGTGTTTCCAAATTTGGAAGGAGATGCAGAATTGAGTCGATTGCTTGATAAAGTTTATATGTAATTCGGTCATTACTTTATGAATCTCTGTGGAAGTCGGAAATGCAAGTCGAGCATTTGAATTTTAAAATCTGAAGTTAAGAAAAAAGATAGAACTTTTTCGACAAGGACGTGTGTCTGCTGTGACAAATCTTGTCGCTTTTGCTTGCTGCGTTAGACGGAACAGGCCGCTGTATTCCTCCCCCCTCCCCCCCACCTTTCCCTTTCTTGGCAGGAGCTTATGCTTATGCTTGGCAGGATCATATGCTGTGCTCGTAGATCTGCTTCTCTTTGGATTGGATAAGCTAGTCCTCTTCTGTCACTGGTTACTCTGTCCGTTTTCTTTGCAGGAGATTATGCTTATGCTGACGTCTGACGCCCGTTTTTCTGGCAGGAGCTTATGCTTATGCTGACGTCTGACGCCCGTTTTTTCTTGGCAGGAGCTTATGCTTATGCTGACGTCTGACGCGTGTTCGATCAGGTGCAGGGAAGTGGGAAAGGACTGTTGGATGAGGCTTTGAAGTCATGTTCGTCGGCGCCTCGACGGCGGTGGTACCTCTGGCTGTTGCTGGCGTTTGGAGTGGAGAGAGAGAACAGAGAGGTTCCTTCTCCTAGCCTTTGATGAGGCACAGCCTTCGTTTGCCTGGTTTAGTCCTCTTCTGTTTCATCGCCTGTCTTGGCAAGAAGTATTCTAGAAATTGCCGGTTGCCATCGACATGCCTAAGATACCTCTTGTGAAGGAGCAGGCGGACGGCTCGTCATGGCTACCGACGATCGTCGTCTTCCTCGTGTTTGTCCACGTGGCCGCTTTTGTATCCTTCTTGATTGATCCAGCAACAAATCCACAGTTTGCTCTTATCTTCATCTTGCCCCATCTCTCTCTCTCTCTCTCTCTCCTCTCTCTCTCTCTCTCTTGGCCCCCTCCTCTCACCACTCCCTTTCCCTTCTCTACCTACCTTTATTTCTCTCTCCCGCGGTTCACGTTCTCTCTATGCAGCTAGAGCTATAGCGATCAAGGATCGCGGCTCGCTCTCTCTTCCCCTCTTCCCCCTCTCCCTTTCTCTCTCTCTTTCCCCCTCTCCCT